TTTTTAATTATATGTAATGTTATATGTTATTGTCTGTATCCCCCTCCCTATGAGCTGTTAGCCGCCCTGAGTCCCCTCAGGGAAAAGGGCGGCCTATAAATAAACCTATTCAATTCAATTCAATTCAAAAGCTGGACAAAATTTTAATCTTTTAATTTGAAGAAACCCTAAGGATTTTCTCCTCTGTCTACTTTCCATCCTCTAAGGAATTCCATCCTTATCCCACATCAGTTACTGTATTTCTTTCACCATTTATCTTATTATCATCAACTGATTATAATGGTAACAGTAACAGATTTGGAAGGTCCTCTAGTCCAATCCCCTGCTCATGCAGGAGACCTGTACTAGGGATTTGAACTGCAGAACTGTCGACCTTTCTGATCAGCAAGCTCAGTGTCTTAGCTACTGAGCCGTGTGAATGGGGGGGTTCCTTAGTGCCCTCTGCACTTGGTTGTCCTCCTGAAGATGTAATGAAACATTTGCAAGAAAACAGCCAAGCTCAGAGAGCACCAAGGACCCCTCATTTCGATCCTCAGCTACCAATATTCTCCTTTATCAATTTGGAAATGTCAAGTCCAATTTGCCTCTTGAAAAAGCACCGTTGGGAAAACCATGATCTGGACGACTGAGAATCTCCAATTTGAGACAGAATGGCTGGCCTAAAAGACAGCGATTTTCCATGACTGAGAGTAGAATTCAACCTAAATCAACCTCTTAACTACTACACTAGATAGGCGCACACTCCTATTAGGCCATCATAGGCCATCATGGAAAACCAAAAGGAAGGCATAAGATACTGTATATGGCCATTTATAATTAGTAGCTCTCCAAAGACTTATCCCATTGGGTCAACAGGGGTGTCAAACTCAAAGTCCAGGGGCTGGATCCGACCTGCAGGTGCTTAGATCTGGCCCATGGGGCCACCCTGGAAACAGTGAAGGATCTGGCCTGTAGTGCCTCTGCCAGTGAAAATGGAGTTTGGGAGGGTCCATTTTGCTGGCAGAGGGTTGCAGGAGGCCATCACAGCCAAAAACGGAGCTTAGGAGCCCGTTTTCTCTGACAAAGCATTCGGGCCACCACAGGTGACCCCGACATGAGTGACATTGAGCTAGCCATGCCCACCCTGGCCACTCCCACTCTACACACACACACAAGGTCAAACACAACCCTGATGCAGCCCCCAATGAAATTGATTTTGACACCCCTGATCTACAATCTAACCACACATATAAAGAAATGACAAGTTTATCTGAATAACTTTTGTACCAAGTATGTCTCTCTCACGCACACATTGTGTGCTTGTGTGTGTGTGTGTGTGTGTGTGTGTGTGTG